GCTTCTAAATCAGTTGCTCAGATCTTCCGTCAAAAATCACCTGTTAAATCCCACCAAGTCATTCCGACTTTGCCTAGTACCAACGATACCTTCATTACAGAGGAGTCAGGCAAGGCAGAAATGTTAAATTCATTTTTTGTCGTACAATTCACCATTGAGACTGACCCAATTCCTTTTATTCCTCCGTTGTCTGATGTCTCCCTCAGCAACATTAATTTTTCTCCTGAAACTATTCAAAAACTCATAAACCATGTTCCTAACTCTCACTCAGTAGGTACGGACAATATCCCAAACTCTCTTATAGAACGGCTTAAAGATTTTCCTCCTCTGCTTAGCAAACTCTTCTCAGTATTTCTCGTAAATAGCTTCTTTCCTGACTATTGAAATACTTCTGTTATTATTGCAGCATTTAAGTCAGATTGTCGTTTTGAGGTTCAGAACTATCGAGGTGTCCATGAAACACCTTCTCTCGCCAAAATCTTTGAAAAAATTATCGCCTTGAAAGTTACCGACTTTTGCATAGCCAATCAAGTTATTAGCCCTTCCCAGCATGGTTTTTTTTACCAGATCGCTCTTATGAAACATGTCATCTGTCGCTGATTGTTGACATCTGGCGTACTTTTTCCTAAGTTTCCTTTTCAATCTTAGGTTCTTTTTTATTTCCGACGCCACCCACTCTCGTCGGGAAGTGTCCAGTTTCCTCCCATGTGGGCAACAGATCTCTACCAAGTTTTACACTGCGTCCTTGAGGGAGAGCCAGTCGCTTTATAGGTCAGATGCTTGTGCAGCGTTCCAGTTATTCTTCTGTAGCAGAATTTCCATTCGGGGATAATCCCTTTTCCATACATTTCTTTCCTCGGCAAGTCGAATTTTGGGTGCAGAAAAATGACTATACTCCCAAACAAGAACACAGTGTTCACTTCGACCAAGGGGCGTGTGTGTGGTCCAAAGTGAGAGTGCAACTATCATCCACAGTGATGATGAGATCCAAACAATGTGGCTACTGTCAGTCTCGGAATCGAGTGTTCACTCAAGCGTGTTGTATATGACATATGACCGTGGACCCGGGTTATAATTATATACCACAACGCATTCTTTTATCAACAGAGTTGAGGTTCGAGTTGAGGAATACTCATATTCGGCGAGGTCAGCTACTGCACAGAGCACTCGGAGTAAAGGAAGTGTGGATCGGCCACAATGCATAACCATTTATGATGAGTCAGCAAGAACCACAGATGAACTGCACGAGGACAAATGTACCAATAGCACAGCCATTTCCCTTTTGTCAGTCCACTTCGGGGCAGGCAATGTATTGGCCGACGAGGTTTAAACCACTGCATCATAATTCAGGGCCTCTCAGAGTCAGTCGCCTCTACCCCTGTGGACGGAAGCGCTGCAGACTTAGAGCAATTCCAAAAACTCCCCAGCGATATCCTGAAACTATTGGACGATGTCGCCATTCTAAAAGTTCTTTGCCTTGGAAGTCGTTCAAATGCTACTTCGTGGACACCATTACGACCACTAAAAATCGTCCTACGCAACGATGGGCAGGCGAAACCAATCCTTTCTGGCATTTTCAACTGAAACATTCGTAAACTGGAGTGCTTTCCTTGTCAGACTTCTAGCCAGACAAAAGAATAGAAAGCCGAGAATTGGTCTTGGAAATGAGAACATGGAGAACCAACGGAGAACAGAACTTGATTATTTAAGAAGACAAGATAGCAAAACAATATTCTGCCCCCCCCCGTATCAAGCCGGTTTTAATGACCGTACGGATTTCCTGGTATCCTGTGTGGGGATTGTAAACGGATCTACTACGGATTTCAGACTCAAGTTTATGTATACTAACGCGAAAATATCCTTTCGAACGTGGATGAACTCTGACTTCATGTCTGTGACCTCCACACAAACGTAACCTCAATAAGAGAAACATGGTTGTCCGAACAGGCTGATGATAGGGAATTAAGGCTTCCTGGGTTTCAGCTGTTCGGCAGAGACGGAAAAAACAGGATGGGTGGAGGTACAGCAGTATTCGTTCAGAATGGCTTATACGTTTCAGAAAAACTGCTAACCTGACTTGTAGTATGGAAGCCTTATGGCTGATCATAAGACCACCGGGCTCTCGAGGACTCGATGCCTTGACATCATCCCTCGAGATATGGCCCTGACGCTGATGTTAAACTGCCAGATGAGCTCAAATTATTTCCTACGCGGCCGAATTCTGTCGTCGTTGGCGACTTTAATGCACCTCACAGAGCCTGGAGTTCGGCCTCCGCCGACTGCTCTGAAACAGCATTCGACCAGCAGCCTCTGCGTACGACTTGCAATCCGCTTCTCACGTAACACGTAACGTTTCCGTCGAGAGTTCGTGAGGGCCAGCAAATGAACTGCCTCGACCTCGTGTTGATCGAGTCGTCTGATAACATCAACATTGCGGGTTGTCTCCCCCATTAGGTCAGAGGGACCATATTGTTCTCGTGTGAGAATACACCTTATTCTCACTGTCTGGACAACAGATCGATTCCTGACCCAGTATATGGTGCGGCAATTTCGGACAGATGAAAAAGGATCTGCAACTTATCGACAGGGCATCCACACTCTCCGGCGATATCGGAGAGGTTTGGTGTCAGTCCAGAGAGACAACACACAGCCTCATCCCCAACCACTGCCCACTCACGCGCAAAAGACAAACGAACAAACACCGCCGGTGGACTCCGTCCTAAAAGAAGGGAGTTAACAGTAAGAGGAAGCCATTGAAAAGATTTCTCATCGATCCTATGCCTGAATTCTTAAACACTTCTACATTCCAGAATGACCGGGTACGAATTCTCACCGCCAGACATCGGCGAATCTTCGAAAGGGAGCTACAATAAACCTATTCTATTCTAATGCGTGCCATGGTTAATCCCAAAGTCCTTTACGGCTACATAAGTAGGAGTACGCGGAACAAAGATTTAATCCCACTGCTGCTAACGGCCGAGTGTGCAGAAACCTCAAATGACAAGAACAAGGCGAATATCTCTCTCAATACTTCCGGTCCGTCGGTACGAGTGTGCCCGATTATTTCCACTCACATGTGAAGATGAAGAAACGCCCACTATGGAAGCAGTCCTCTTCACCGAAGCAATCGTTCAGAAAGGATTGCTAAACCTGAAGGAATTAACCTCCCCAGGCCCTGATGCAATCCCGGTTGAGCTGCTGAAGGAGCTAGCCCCAAAATTAAGTATAATTCAGTATATGATGGATAGAGGCAGAGCCTTGGAAAACCCTATTGAAAGGTAGGCGTATGAAAAAAACATTCAGATATTTACATAGCAGTTATGCCAGTCATTGATATCATGTTAATGTTTGACCATCTAGCATAAGTTTATGTAGTCTTCTTTTGAAAGTCTCGACGATTTCCGCTAAGACAACGGAGTTCGGCAATTTGTTCCATCCCTCAGCCAGCCGGTGAGAGAATAATTTGGCCCGCAAATCGAGTCTGGCATGTTTCGTCTTCAATTTGTATTGGTGCCCTCAAAGATTTGTCGTCCGCGCCAGCTCGAAGAAATCGTCAAACTGAAGAGCACAGTCTAGCCCTCGGACGATCCTGAAGGCCATGATCATGTCCCTCTGTACTGTCTAGAAGAGAGAGGAAATATTTTTAGCTTCTCCAGCCGTCTCATATAAGGGAAACCACATAATCCGCCGACTAGCCTGGTCGCTCTACGTTGTACGTTCTCCAGTAGGGTGTAATCTTTTTTCGTCCAGGGACACCATGCCTGGAGACAATATTCCAACATTGGTCGAACGTATGCGCCAAATACTCGGCCGAAAAGTTCTTCATCAAAATTGACGAAGGATCTTCTAATCGCGCCTAGAATACCCATAGCTTTCATTGATACCTTGGCGCAGTGAGAAGATGGTTTGGGAGTTGACGTCATCCACACACCAAGGTCTCTTAACTCGTTGACTGATTCGAGTTGGTGACCTCCTATAAAGTACTGAGATTCAAATATCAACGGCCTCCTGTTGCTCGAACGTAATCGGATAAGTTGGCATTTGTTACGATTGAGGCTAAGACACCACTCATCACATCACTTTTGCAAGCGATTTAAACTGTCTTGTAATTGTACAGAATCTTCCGGCTTCTCTATTGATTTCCACAATTTGAGATCGTCGGCAAACATCACTCGCTCGCAGTTCAGACAGTCCAGGCAGTCGTTCATATAGATCAGGAACAGAATTGGACCCAGAACGCTTCCCTGCGGAACGACACTGTGCACGGATGCCCATTCAGATTTAGCGTTTCCGATACACACACGCTGAGATCTGCCCGTAAGAAAATCGCCTAGCCATTTCAAAAGATTTTCATTCAAACCCACTTGACGTAGTTTACATATAAGTCGTCTGTGTGGAACACTGTCAAAAGCCTTTTTGAAGTCGATGTACACGGCGTCGACTGATAAGCCCATGTCAATTGATTTCGTCCAGCTCTCCATGCATACTAGGAGGTTGGTGAGACAGGATCGACCGCTTCGAAATCCATGCTGATGTAGACTGAGCAAGTTGTTTTCTTCGAGGTGCCGCATCAGCTCCGTTTTTATTACTCTTTCCATCAACTTGCAACAGATGCTAGTGAGACTCACTGGTCTGAAACTATTTGGGGCTGTTCTCTCACCAACTTTATAAATAGGGCTTATATTTGCTTTCTTCCAGTCGGTAGGCAAAGCCCCGGTCTCCATCGAAGTTTTGAAGATCTTGGATAACGGAGAGGCCAGTTGGTCTGAGAGTTCATTCAGAACTTTTGCGAACACGCCGTCCGGACCAGGGGATTTAGTGGGCTGTATTTGCCTCAAAGTTTTCTAAACCATTAGCCTTGCTCTTCCAAACGCCAGTTGTTACTGGGTGCCTACCTCCGGTAGAAAGTCCGCTACCATCACTTCGTTTTTAAAGGTGGAAGTCGTGTGTCTGCGAATAACTACAGGCCAATGAGTCTTCTCTCTATTTAATGCAAAACCATGGAGAAAATAATCAAGAAGTCGTTGATGCCATTCCTCGAGCAGCATCGCCTCCTCTCCGATGCCCAACACGGTTTTCGAAGTGGTAGGTCCTGTCTCATTATTCCGCTCTTTTAACTTGAACATTGGACCAAGAGACGCGACAAAAGCTATACGGTGCATATCATCTGCACTGATTTCGAAAGGCTCTGGACAGCGTTACTCAAAAATATCTTTTGCACAAAGTGCACAACGTAGGAATCAGTGGTAGCCTTCTTATATGGGTTCAGAGCTTTTTGATTGGACGATCCCAAAGGCTGCAGGTCGTGCGCTAACAAACCTCAGAGGTAACCGTGGTAAGTGGCGTTCCATAGAGTCCAGTCCATGGCCCCAACTTTTACTTGTTTTCATCAATGGCTGCGTCAGGGACCTAGGCTGCGGTGGCATCCTGTTCGCTGACCGTATACAACTGTTAAAAGTTGCTCAAAATGCAGGAGCCGGAGACGACCTGCAAACAAACTTGAACAGACTCGAGGACTGGTCGTAGCGCTGGCTTATGCCCGTGAATATATGTAAGTACAGCATTTTTCAACACGGCAGCTGCAGAGCCCGTATTCCAAAACTTACCTTCTTCGCGGTACACCAACGAGACCAGTTGACAGTCTGATGGACTTCGGTGTGGAGGTTGCATTTTCACTCAAACCAGCATTGAGCGGCGTGAGGGTGGTCAAGTCATCTATGTCTACATCGTAACTCATGGGCGATCCTTTACGGGATTTGACATAGACACCCATGGTGCTGCCGCATCTAGTATACGTCATGCAGGCATGGAGATCTTGGATTCCCAAGGACTGCACCGTCTTAGTGATGGTTCAGAGGCGGGCTATAAAATGGGCAGAGGTCTCGGAACACCGCTCTATAAAAAAGACTGTCAAATCTCAAACTGTTCCCCTTTCATACATGCAACCACGCGGTGATCTCATAATAATCTTCTGCATTATGGATGGCCTGGACTGTTGCTTTGTCCCCAGTAATTTTTTCTGTTCAGGCTAACGCGTCCACTTTGTGAGATCATCCCCTAAAACTGCGATCGGACAAAGCAGGGATCAATGGGAAAAAAATTTTCTTCAGTAACAGAGTAGCTGCAGCGTGGAAAACCCCGCCCGCTAGTGTTGTACGCTCCCCCAATGCTGGTTCACTTATGTGTAAACTCGACGCGTTTCAAACTTTTCAACTGCCAGCCACACGCACTTACATAACCAGTCATCATGTTTCACTACTTGCAGTGGGTGAATAGACCCTCATGTTAACCAATGTCGACTAGCCAACAGCTGCCTGTTATTCGCATGAAATTATGAAAACCATTCTTCGTTCAATTTCTCACTTATAGGTGCTCCCTCCTAGACCATCTATTCTACCTTATAATCCGGACACCTGTGAAAAGCCTTCTGGGGGACACAAACGAAAGCCGCGACCAGTCCTAAGCAAGTGCCCAAATAAATTAACAACCGGCAACTAACTAACACCCAAATTTAATCACCTCGAACGCCAGGCCGATGCCAAAGTCCTTCAAGTTCTACGAAAGGCGAAGTATTCGTGACCCCAGAAAGTTACAAACTTAAGTTCCCATATTGTATATCTCGTTCTTTTTTGTACCCTTTCCTATTATTTTACCCTGGAACTCAGATTTTATATAACTAAATACGAACACATAACTTGGCCTCTAGCGACTAAGCAGACATCCCAAACAAATCTGGTTAAAGTGCAGTCGAAATGGATAGATAGATAGATAATTTTTATTAAAGACCCGTCGGGGTCCCATCAAAGCAAGTTAAAATAAATTTACATGCGAGTTTAAGACGAGGTAGGCCGAATCTTTACAAAATGCAATTCCTAGTTTCTAAATTAGAAGTCCATTGAGAAACATGATGATTGAGGGGTGAAGAAAACTCCTTACGAAAAGTTAAAAATGATTGGATTACTATTACAGGAGAAAAAAAAACCCTCTTTAAAAATAATAACAGAAAAAAGCGAGCAGGACTGGCCTGTAGGTGGCGGTATATAACGGAATGTTGTCGGTCATCGTCAGGGTAGCAATAAATGTCCGCCTTGATGGGTACGAATGTGGGTCAGACAGGACTGGCTTGCAAATGGCATTGTATACGGGATTCACAATTGAGATCGTCTGGGCCTGATTGGTACGCCGCGTCAAAGAGGCCAGACGAGAGGAACCGAGATGCGATCGGCCACAGCACGCTTCGAGCTCAGCCGAGCAGTGAGGAAGGGAGGTACGACCGAACTACTAGTAGACGGCGAATACTGTGGGTTACGCCCTGAGCGTCGACAGACCGCATGAGGTCGGAATGCGGGAGATGACATCAAAAACCGCGAAAATTGTCGCTATGGGGGAGGAGTGATAGCAGTGGATTTAGAAACCAATTCAAAACAGGGGTTTCTAATGATATAATTAAGAGTTACCACTAGATCTACCACTAAATCCCAGGAGGACCCTTCTCGAAGTCAAGAATCTGAGTGTTAGGAAATGAGACCGTTAACAGTGCCTTTATGCTTTCCGGTGTAAGATGGTTGCGTAATTTCGACTTGAATACCAGTAACTTAGGCGATAATCTAATTTCAGGCGGAAGATTATTCCAAAGGAAGGCATATTTGGAAGCAAAGAAGAGGGAGCGCTTAGATGTAGTACAAAGAGGCGGCGGAATCACCATGCAGGAGTTGCGCGTGGCATAAGACCGATCTCTCGGAGTGAAAGTGTCAATGTGCGGAAGACTGGAGCTAGAGTTGATGCGAAAAAGTAAGCAAAGGCCAGCTTCGAGTCTTCTAACCCACAAAAACTTCATGCTCGCCAGCTGACATCTCTGAGTATAAGAAATACTGGACGAAGCTTGAGTTCGGTTTAAATTTTTTTCCTGGTTCAAAGCGCCCAAGTAGTTATATAATAAACCTATTCTATTGTACAGGTGTGGGCCTATCTTCCCCTTAACGAAATTGAACTGAACTGATGTTGAGATTGGGATAGGTGACTGACAGAGCTGAAAAGAGCATGACTCCGCGTGTCCCACCTACAACCCAGCCCTCATACACACACCCGAATTTCCCACATAAGGGAGTAGAATTCTCGGATCTCATATGCAGCGGAGGAGTTATACTCAACAACTGAACACAAAGGAAGTAATCGGGACTACATAACCAACATGACGGAAGTGTTGTCTTGGCGTTAAGAAGAGGGAAGACCAGAAGAATCAACAAATAAGATCGAAACACATGTTGTCTTGATCTTTAGTGAGAGGGGGAGTGGAAGCAAATAATCGAACAACTGAATTCCCAACACGCACAGGGCGTTTAGACTGCGTACTGAACCACGCTGAAATACTGACAAACAAAAATATACTGGCCAATAAGTTAGCAAAGTCCAACCAACTCTCATTCAAATGAGAACCTGAGGACATATCACCTGAAAGATATAAGGCTCCCCGCAGAATCTTTACAGAAGGATCTCGGGGTTTGGATACAGAACAACCTGAAACCAACACTGAAGTGCCACAAGGCTACAAAAACGCCATGGCAGTGCTGCATGCAATCAAGAGAGCTTTCGTTAACTTTGACCAAGACATTTTTGGGAGAGTTTACGACACTTTGGTTCGGGCCCACTTAGAATATGGCATACAAGCATGGCGGCCGTGGCTAGTAAAGGACCAAGCATGCCTCGAACGAATACAACGCCGTGCAATTAAGCTGGTAAACGGTCTAAAAAGTCAATCCTACACAGACAGACTGAATTGCCTTAATTTATTCCCTCTGTGTTACAGGCAGCAAAGAGGTGATCTTATCCTCGTCTACAAGATAATACATGGCCTTGAGCATGGACTTAAATTTGAAGACATGTTTCAGTGGCACCTTTCACCTTATCATCGTGGTCACTCGATGAAGTTACGGACAACAATGTCCAGGCTGAATCTTCGTTCAGAATTTTCCACGCAGAGGGTAGTGGAGAAATGGAACGATCTCCCTCAGTCAGTCGTGGAGGTTACGTCTCCGCAACCCTTCAAGAGACGCTTGGATGATTATTTGCGCCCCCTGTTTTTCCTCGACAGTCTGAATCTGAACTAAGACCCCACGTTCCCACAAATATTTCCTTTGAGACAATGCTACTCAAATGAATCAAGTGCTGTTTTAATAGCGAATATTTTTTGTTCGTGTACAGTTATTTCTAAGGAGCTGACATGTAATCAACAGGGTTTTCAAAGGCTTTAACTATTATCCTTACCAAATAAACTGAAATAAACTGAAACTATGCACAGATGCAGCTACGCAATCCGGTAGGAAGTAGTCGAACTGGGATGAAGATTGTTCCGCGAAAACCCTAGAAACTAAACGACAGAGAACGGGACTTTATGAGACCATAGGTATTTGCGCTGACGGTCATTCTTCGTAAGAAGCAGGAGATTTCTTCAGACAGATACTAATATGTAATGACATGGTTTTCTTATGAAAATGCTGAACCACATAAATTATTTTAGACACTGGTGGCGGGGCGATCGCCGATCATTTTTGCGGAACCCATTCGTCCCTTTGTGCTTTAGGGCTCTCTCTCATGCCGAACCGGCAGGCGCAGAGCTGCGTATGATATAGGCTAAATAGCATTATAGATAAAGGCAAGGGAGAATGGAATGGCCATTTCTGGATCGTCAGCTGCTGTCAGTCAGTCATACTCAACCCCGAAGTGTGAAGCATCTGGGGCTCATTTCCGCGATCCCGCAACGCTTATAACCACTGAAGCCAGTGGCTCGTTGTTCTGTCGGTTGCGATCTGGAATATATAGTGGTTCTGTATGAGAGAGAGCCCTAATGCACAACAGGACGAGTGGGTTCCACAGAAACGCTCGGCGATCGCCCCGCTACCAGTGTCTATAATAATTTATAGAGTTCAGCCTTTTCATAAGAAAATCATGTCATTACACATTAGTGTCTGACTGAAAAAATCTACTGCTACTTACGCACAATGACCATCAGCATAAACATCTTTGGTCTCATAAATACTCCCAGTAGCCAACAGAACAAGGACAGCACTCACACTCCCTAATCAGACTGGGGGTGCGGTGGTCGCAGTCAATAGTGTCTACTTGACGGGTGTTCTCGAAACGTGACAATAATAATGTACGAGTTCCATTTTGAAGAAGAAACGGATGGATACCGATAGAAGTCGTAAATTATGTACAGAAACGCAGCGACATTCAATCCTCAAGGCCCGACCGGATCTGTAAATGCGCTTATCTACCTGCTAGTATGTTGTGGGTGTTGCCGCATATGCCACGTGAGAGTCAGTCAGCGTAATCTTGGTCATTTTCTTAGGTGGTGGCCGAGTTTATGGATGCTTGTTATGAGCTGTCATACAGACTAAATTTGCGCATTCTACAATAGCTCGAAGGCTGAGATTACATGACTCACATTGCAACGGAGGGGCCAAATGCGGATGGGTTATAGGCGTTTAAAACGCCACAAGTTGCTTGAAAGATATACAAACACTCCAAAAATCGCGAAATGGCCCGGGGCTCGTAGCTCGTGTGAATCACCGCGTATCCACTGTTTATTGGATAGTATCGGCGCAACCCAAATAAATCACAAAAATTGCTTGTTTTTCTCTTTCAGTGACATCTTCTCGGTCAATTATCGACATTAACCGCCACTTGTGGTTTTTTGGCTCCTTACCTTTTGGATGCGGGTTACATTACTACCCCTTTTTGAAAGCTGACTGGGTCCACCCCAAAGGGTGCTGCAGTCTTAATATTTACTCTGTCACATTAACGGTTCAGGAGTAATTTCCAATCTACATGTTTATGCCTCTTTTAGCTGGCGATGGCACCTCTAAATGTGCACTGAATAAATTTACTTAGTTCAAGAATTATAGTCTGCATCATCCTCTCCACTGTTCACAAGTATCTGTCAGTAAATATCTACCTTATATTAGACGAGAAAGTCCGTACCGTTCTTGATTCCACGAAATCAACGTGAAACGCTCACTTCAGAGCTTACAATTGTAGGAATCATTTTACTGGCATTGCTGGAGCCAATTTGTGGCCGCAACAAAGACAGTACAGAGTTGTGTGAAATTCGGTACTCTGGCGGGCTCAGGCGGCGGCCCACTCCGGAAGGCAAGCCGTATCGATCCGTGTGTCCCTGTGCATGTAAGCGCACTTTACGCGACCAAACATACGGTTATCCTTCTCAGGATCATTCCCGTTGTTCGTAACGCCAGACGTCTACAGCCTACTCGACCCGAGATGTCCGCGATTCCGCCTGTGAGATGATGTGTACGTGCATGTGTATGCAAAATGAGGCTGTTCGCGCCGGTCCGTGACCGCGGCGGCTCGGGAGCCACTGTAGCCGTCAGCTTGACTGAAAAACGTTATTGGGGCAGATCGACCTAATCTCTAAGTAACACGAATCGGACCTCCAGCATCTTCCGTTGCGCACTTTTATATTTAATTTCTTTTCTAAATCGATGCTTGCAGTAATAGAACAAGCGCTTGCTCCAGGTGAAGAGGCCGTTCCCGGACAGCATGGCTACCTGCTGGATGTCCACGCAATCTTACATCTAGATAAGGAAACATACGAACAGGAAAATCTAGCCACCGGTCCCCTTGAGCGTCTCCGAGTTGTAAATTGATTTCATCAAACATCGAACGTTGCCGTAAATCCGTTACATCCGTTTACGGAACCGTACTCGAAAGAGTCACGTGCTTTCAACGTAATTCTTCACTGCCATGAAACATCTATGTGAACACGTATTAGTAAACTGGCGGAAACCCAATTCGAACGACCTGAAATATTTCCTTTGGCGCGGCAGTTATTAAGCATAGTTTGAATGTGCTGGACGAGGTGGTCCTTAGGCATGTAGGCCTAGCCCTTTGGTTACCCACTCGCCAAGGATCGCGTGGTTCGATACTGCTTCCCCTCATGACTTTTGAGCTTCAAATCCATCGGCTCGCTAATCGTTCACATCGGCTGAAACGTCATATGCTTAGTGTGCATGCTTATGTAAGGGGGGACTTATGTCTGTTTTTACTTTTCAGGCATTTGAGTCCTACCGCTGCTTAAAAAATAACCTCAAAATGTTTATTGCCATCAACGAAGAAAGAAATGCAAATGACTCCTGACCCCTATTTATTGTGACTGTTCACACCTTTTGCATTCACTGCGAGCATTATCATGGATCCTGACGAGACTCCGTACCAGGGTTTTTTTTACGATTCCCAATCATCGGACATCGTCGCCAAAGTTGTATTTAATATATTTATTTTTGTTTCGATCGTGTTGTCAATTTCCTGGGTGCTGAGTCGTCGGGTAAGACAATTTTCATATCTTACAATCGGTAGCGTTCGAGTTCGTTGCCGATTTTGGATGAGAACTTTCCAGATGTTTCCATGATCCTCAAAGGGCGCGACGTCATGCATCTCGCGAGATATCGTACTGATATCCCAAATGAGGTTCTTTATGTCCATACTGGATCTCAGTACATCTGTATGGTGAAAAAATGGTATCTTATGGAGCAAGTTCGCCAAAATACTGCCCATTTAAGGGTTTTCTCAAGAGCTCCAGGTTAGTTACACTTCTTTCTCTGTTCTTGTTTCCGAAGAGTTTATTTTATTGAAGTAGCCAATTTATGAGATCCCTTATGGCACATTCTTGTCCTAGACAAGGAACTTCCTTTGCTATCAATTTTAAATGCAGTCTGCTGCGGTCACCTCCAACTGGCCTCATTTTCACGTATCTGAGACAACCCGATCAGTCATCAGTTATTTTATTCTATCATTGAGCATCCTGCTTCCTAATTCGAGCTGTGCTCTTGCTGATAAAATCTCTTCCCCGATCTAAATAACAGCTTTCCCCAAAGTTGTACTCTGACGCAGGAGCGAAATTCACTAACAATAAGTTTCCATTTCGGCGCGAATGCTGTCGCGCAAACTACCCGTCTTGTTTTTATGTTCACGGAATCCGTATTACTATTACTTAATTCCGTTTTCGACCTCTTATGAAAGTAGGTCTCTTCAAGTCCTTCTCACTATTTGTGTTTTGTTTTCTCGATTTTCATCGCGGACAGAATAGATGGGGAAGCGTGTCCGAGTCTTTGACTACGAATATAATAAAACAACTGTGGAAACAAAGGAAACCATCCATTTGGCATTTAGAGTTCACATTTTCATACTGAAACGACAACCGCACATAGTCAATCAGTCATGTTCAACAAATCTGCACGAAGAGCAGGTAACATGCCCACAGGAAACCTATGGACGCCGCGATTGGCAGTCCTAGACATCAATGGGAGGTCCTAAAGCGCAAATAATCCAACGAAGTTGAACTGGGTAACCACAGCTGTCCTTCCAATTCGTGAATTTCTTTTCTTAGTACCCTTTCTGTCATTTTACCCCCGAAGCAAGCAACGGTGCTTCACTAACAAAATACTTTATTTCAGGAAACTAAGATAATGAGTGGCATGCAGTGATGGTCTTTTCTGTTATCGTCTTCCCGAAAGCCTTTTTTGTTTGACGCCTTTCTTTAGAGAACGTACGAAGGGACTGGCGCGGTTTGACATTTTCCGACCAATTCACTCCTGGCTACAGCGATTTTCGTACTCTCTTCGACCTTTCTTTGCTGAATTTTCCCACTTTCGCTCATATCGGCGGCGCCCGCTTCGGACTCCAACTCTTTGCCCACTTTCTTGAACGTCAACAGTCCACTCAGCTATCTGCCCCTGAGTTCAATCTTTTGGCGCTGCATGTCTTATGTGCGACTGCCTTACTGCGTACGGAACCCGGGAAACCGATAGACCAGGCCACTGACGAGACAGAAAAAGTGATTCTCGGTCTGGACAGGCTGCTTCATAGTCTCCTGCAAATTCACGTGGATGGTAAGCTTCGATCCGGCGTGGAGCCTGATGTCAGCATGACGGCAATATTCAAGGCAGCAGACGCGCTTTTCAATCCAATAATTCTGTTGGAAATTGAGAGGGTCACTGCCGCCAAGTTGGAAGAACAGTCCGAACAGGAGGAAGAGGCTGACGGTTGGAATTTTGTTTCCCCTTCGCGGTGCGCTTGGACAACCAGTCTTCTATCGCATCTGCTTTCCTACAAGTCCCTACTGGAAGAGGAGGAAGGCACTGACTTCTCCTTCCTCACACTGCGCCACATTTCGCACAGCCTCTTGGAGATTCTCTTGTTGGGGCGGCATACTCTGGCAGTCTGCCTGCACACCTGTTTGACAGTCTTGGCTGAAAGGCCGGACTGGCGGGCCCACCTCCGCAAAGAGCTTGCCGCACATGCCGTCGGATGCCAACGCAGAGGGGTATCCGCGGAAACACAGCTCACGGTAAGATTTTTATTTCACCGAGATCACCTTCCAAGTTACCACCCAGCAAGACGAGTTGGATGAGTGCATCGCTTTCGCTAACGGGGTCGCAATCCCGCATATCACAGACTGGACACTGTCGGGTTAACAATAGGGTTTTCAAGGCCCTTTTTAAAGGCAACCCCACTCCAAAATAACTCTTTTTGCGGGAAACTCCACCAGAAAGAACTCATTTCTACCCGGAAAGTTGGTTCCAGGAAAGGACAGCCCTAGTACCAACAGTCACACCGCAATACCCATAGCGAATGCGAGGAACCTGTTCGCACCCTATCTAAGGTAGACACGTCATAGATGAAAGCCAAATTCAGTAAGACCATAACTGATGGTGCTTGCAGCGTGACTCCGAGTTAATTATTTTTTAGTCCTTTCAGGCAGATTAGACGAAGAAGCGTTGGGTCCTGTCAACCACTGCGCATTGATCGACGGGTTGATTTATGCTGACGTAGCGGTCTAAATAGCCAATCGTGCCGAGTGCCAGTCAGTGCAATATCCAAGAGACGGACTCCACAATGTTCTGAAAGCCTCCGAATTGTTCGTGCGCGGACGCACCAGTCTGAATTAGTGAACTGTTAGCAATCCTGGTAAAAACCCTCATAGCCTTTGGACCACTGGCGATAGCTCAATTTATCATGATTTAAGATCAGCTTTACAATTTTGGCGCCTGACTTTGCCCGCGAGTGTAACAAGGATACACTCCAGTCCTGGTGGCTAAGAAAGCCAAAGCCTGATCAAACAATTGACCTAACCGTAATCACATCCACCATGCGGTAACTGATAGCCCACCACGGTGTAGTGAACATTTGTTCTACCTATTTGGTTGTCGCCGAAAGGTCTAAAAGTGAACGGTCAGGATCGAAACAAGTAATAGGCAGGTGTAGGTCCTAGTATAACTCGTATGTTTCAGGGCGACCTACGTGTCGTCATTCTTGCCACACCCATGCGCGAGGATGTACGGATAGCCAGTTTGATTGACGATAAAACTACATGCTCGATTGCAAGCGAGTGCATCACTCTGATCACCCCTGCGTCTCAACGAGGTTGTGCTATGAGCAGTGGTCACACCCGGTAACCCTACGAGGGTAGTCTGGTGAACTTGTCTGTGGGTATATTATAGGAGGGATCCGCCACTGCATCAGAGCCCATCACCATTTGCTGGCGCTGGAACTCGATTGAATTTAAGAAAGAAGACATCATACTCCACAGACCTCTCGCTATAAACCAACGCGATGACAAGTCACCACCGCTTCCTGTGGGGCATTGGTGACCACCATCATGCCCGGGGAACGATCATCCACCCGCGGTCTGTTTCAGAAGCTCGTTGATCTAGCTGCTAACCCTTAGCATTGCTCAGATGTCGAGCGAACGTTGGTTATAGGGCCAGGAGATAGAGACAACAAAGGCACGTGGCGACGCAACTGGTAACGCAACTTACACAAATGTTTGACGAGACTGCAGTAACTAAACTAGCAGCCCCATTCCAGCGAAATCTCAGAGATTCGACGGGTACGGCTTAGCAAACACCGCCAGCACTAACTTCTAACAGTCGGGCCCAGCCCTATCAAGCTCTAACGGCCGCTAATGCATCGGTTCGGCATGCCCAGACCCCTAGAGCTCAACTATCAGACAGCTAAAAGGTTTGCGACTGCCCAATCCTCTGTTGTCACAAGAATGTACCGCTCATAAAACCCCTATGCAAGACAAATTTTGAGCAAACACTTTGAAACGTGTAAAAACTTGCACCATACGTTCTCCGCCTTGCAGGACGACTGCCTTGAAGTGGAAGTTGACTGCCTGCCCTGGACCAAGGCGTTGTGCCTGGAGACCCTACGATTCACGGTGGCCGGTTGGCCATTCGATGCACTGTTCGAGGCCACACGGGACGGTCAGATCTCCGACCACAACTACAACGCCGGTGACCTCATACTCCTCAATGAGCCGCTAGTCTTTCACGACCCCGGTGTCTGGTTTGGTGCCGCAGATAGGTCAGCCGCCGAGGTTTACGACTCAGTAGGCAGCCAAAAACGCCCTTTTAACCCCTTCAATTTTGCAGACCTGCACAGCTCGACAACTGCCTACCTTGTTTCAAACCTGCTACTCAGTTCGGGTGTCTGCCAGCCGCCACGTACTTTCATTTACCGACTGTTCCTGGCCACGCTGGTGGAACTCTTCGGGAGGGGTTGGGAGTTTGAGGTGGACGGCCCACTCCCCTGTCCCCAAAACCTAAATGACCCTGCCTGCAGGTTCCACGCCCTCGGACGCACCCTACCCGCTTTGACTTTATTACGCTCAAATTCGCAGTAATTTGACCGCCTCTTACGCGCTGGTGCAATATGTCTGCATTCTTCTTCTTCCCTGCGAACCCCATGGGTGTTCGGGTAACGCGTGACAAAAATGCGCTTATAAAAATATATATTTGCTCCTCAGAGAATGACATGCCTTCGTCTCAGGATAAGGTCCTTCGTGAAGATGGAGGAGATGAGTCCTTTGCGAGGAACTCGGACCATACCGCAGGGGAAACCTCATTAAACGGGCGCAGATCGGCGACCAGTTCCTCATAGGAAAGCGTTTTGAACTCTCCAGGCTCTGGGCGCTGTTATGATTAAGTAAAAAAGATTTAAGTTGATTCGCGTTGTTTACGGGGATACATATATTGTTTCTGATAGTGTGCACCTTAAACGGAAAATGCGCCGCTTCAAAAGACATACTGGAGAAGCAACGATGAGAAAGGTAATCCACTCGAGGCTAGTGTGAACAAGTGTTTGGATTTTGGACGGCAGTGGAAGGTGATCCGAAAGCGGAGCGTTTTGTACGGAGCAGGCAAGCTATGGCTCGTACTTCGTCCTGTCGTCTGGCGGGGGCAGTGAATGTCACCGCGTGACTTTGGTTACTTCCGCTCATAGTCGACAGGACGTGAACCCATTATCAATGGCGAGCAGAATCCGGGTTCAAGCTGTAGGCTTTTTTAGCGGGGGCTCGGGACATGGCTGGCCGACCTCTGGTGCTGTCGTGACTCGTCAGCGACATCCCTTTGGCTGTGAGTGTCCGCGACTACCCTCCGAGTGAGGTGTACAGGCTGTGCGGATGAAACCTACACCTCCGGGAGGACGGTATCAGGCACGCCCGTCAGTGCCTAAAAGAGCACGGTCTTAGATGAAGATTAGTTACGAACGGCAGAGGGGCGCCTATTAGTTACAAAGCAACCGGGATTTCGGGTCTGACGGATAGGCAGTCGCAGGACATTTGGTGGCGGTTCCCTCGAGCCTGGCTAGACGCCGCCCTAGTCAGGCCGCTAAGGGAGGTTGCAGGCCCAGTTAGTATTCGACAGGACAAACGCTGTCCCCCATCCAGTAAGAATTCCGCTGACGACTTAGCCTACGGGCTCAGACTCTGATTGTAAGTCAGGGACGGGACAGGGGGTCCTCACCCACATCATACCATCGCGGACCTCCACGAGCACTTGCGACCTGTGTCGTGGGATGCGGAGGTGACTAGATCGGCATTACTCCTAGGCGCAACAAACGCGGCGATCATGAGCTGCTATCAGCGAAAGTATTTTTCCACAGTCGGTTTATGGATTAAATATCTATCCAAGTGCTGAGTTGAGGGCTACGGAGTCATACATGCGAAGAATTCTGGAACAAGATTCGAATCTCGATTAAGGATATAGCATTTCTAAAGGCCGGCACATCCCAATCTCGCTTGAGAGCAGGAAACAAACATGCACTCCGGATTGTTCGTAAGAAACATAGCTACACTGGATTCTTCGAACTGAGAAGACACTTGTGGTGGCCAAACGGGGCATATGTAAGGGGACGTTGCATACTTCTACAAGGTGATCATGGCAGGCTCAAACTTGCGAATTGTAAGGGCGCCAAGTGCTAATATTGGCCACCTTGGTCAAAACGGTCGTGTTCCAGTTTTATTAGTGCGAGGATCGCACTCTCGGACCACCGATTGTTATTGGTAACTTCAGAGTTCAACGATGTGAAGTTTGAGAAGTTAAGTTAAGCAAACGTACGCTTCCGATTATTCACCATCAGGCCTGTAAGGCGAGGTGCAGTAGCAAGTGTAAACAGCCAATAAACAGTAAGTGTGGGGAAGAAGGTTACTGGCGTTCACGGGTCAGGGACTGTAGTCTAGTTTTGACGGAGGGTTAGGGAGGGGGAAGGTGTCTGGCAACCAGCTATGCTTTTCTTTCGCTGATGTAAGTCGACGTGGCAGGAGGTGTGAAAACACATGCTGGGTTCATCTTTGGCCAGGAGAGCCTTAAAGCCCACACAAACGCTCTATGTGAGCACAAGGTTGGGTTGGCCAACCATCTCTACTTTTGCTACTCCGCCCCTCTTATATTACTGCACAGGCGTTTAATGGTATGTAGAGGTCTTCCAAAAAGGCGGCAGCCGTCGGATGCTTCACTGCTACCGTGGCGGTTGGAACGCCAAAAGAGAGGGGGCGTGGTGTGTCCACGGGGGAGGGCTAACATAACGGAAACGGTCGTACGGGGGAGAGAGGGACACGCCAATCGCGTTGTAACTGACCATCTTGTAATCTCTATTTGTCATCCAGCAATGGCAGCCGAATAGTCGGAACACCCTTGTGTGACGCCACAGTTCACCAGGAGGATGCCATAAAGTGTCAATACGGCGTCGCCAGCCCCCGGGCCGGTAAGATTAGACAGTAAGTACAAATTGATGCAATTCGAATGGCGAAATAATATTTTAGTTAAGACATCTGACATCGCCTAACTGTTTTGCTAATTCGAGCAACCGCGCAATGAACACTTCGACTTCACGGCCTGTAACGGAATAGGACACAGCTCAAAGAACAAACCTGAGGACCTGAGATGTTCCAGGCGATTGCAACAGCATGACTCGGGTCTAAAGCATGTTCCTCGAAAGTCCATAGAGCCGGTTCAGAACAAACGCAACGAGGGGTCCAGTTTGAAAGCTGAAATTCAACTGTCTGAAGATCCATGCCAAGCCCGACACCGAGCGCCTTGACGTACGCCTCTTTCAAACACTAAATTCAAGCGACCAATCATCCCTAGTTAACGAAGTGCATATGTAAAACAGAATTGTAGTGTAGTATCGCCTCAACGTAGAACATAAGGATGGTTGTGAAGACAGAAGGAAGCGTGCCTACACTGAACAGATATGGTAGGAGATTTTCAATGCATAAATTGATGAGGTTAGAATTTAGGAAGTCAACGTATCTGGAGGCATGGCTTTTAAGGAAGGGTGAATCATACGTACCCAGAGTCGGAAGAACCGTTGCATTTTGGCCGCATCCGAGGAACCGGACATCAGAAAATTCCACTCTGAGGCAGCAAAAATGCTCTTCATCTTCAGGAGGAACTTATTTGCCGAGGTTCCGAATGCTGAGCTATTAGACAATTGAAAATCTTACATGGAAACTCCATCCTCATTACATCCACACCGACCCGTCCATGTGTGCAGGCAGCCAAAACTGTGTAGTCTCCATTGTGTGAAACGTTAAAGTCAAAATCCGGCTGAGAGGGCAGGTGGGGGCGACCCTCTGGGGTTCGTTCTACACGTACATCAACCGGATCAAGCAAAAAATGCCGTTTCAAGACATAGAGGATGAGAAGACGTGCAATCTTCGAAATGCCCAGGGTGTAAGTGAGATAAAAAGTTTACCATGCAGGCTTTCACATCTCGTTGGTAGGCATATCGAATAGCACTGTCCTGGTCTGCCCTGGAAATACACCGAAAAGCGTGCAGAAACTGGTCACGCACGGGGCTCCAAAGGCCATGATTAAATGCCAGCCGATACATTAAACTGTGAACACCATCAGACCTAAAGAATGATGCAGTAAGAACCTTTAGAATATGGTGCGATTTATGAATTATCGACGGTATGACCACAGGCCGATCTCGGAAAAGTCATGTAAATCGATCTGTAATTACTAGTCGTAAATCGTCATCCTTTCTTATCCAGGGGTAATGGGCGAGTCAAGTGAAATTGCGATAACACCAGGTGTTTTTAGGTCAGTAAACGATGGGCGGAAGTACTCAGGGTCACCTATCCAGTTGCCAGTCAAAAAATCAGAATATTTGTGTCGCTGCTAACCTGCTAGTCGGCTGTGTTCCGCATTTTGCCAATCCGCAGGTCACCCTCAGTCACCTGACTCAAGCCTAAGTACCGGTAATTGGTACAGTCAGCCTAGGTGGTGTCGCGAATTGCACCTCTTCCCACATTACGGTCTGAGCCAGCGACGGAGACCAAATACCGAAAGTCCAGGAACCACTTCCATGTCTTGGACTGTGTCGAGCCAGGTTTTAAGTTGACCCCTTCAACACCTCCAGGCTGACAACGATACCGGACTGATGGCAGTACCCGGAGTTTATGATGCGGGTGAAAAAAGACTGTTTAAACCACCTCAGTAGTTTGTCCTGGATAATCTGATACTCTCGCGATATCGCGCTGAGTGCGGACTCGTTTCGGAACGAAGTCAGTATACTGCATTCTAAGGAGGATTCCCGGACCGACGATGTTCATGCATACAGCCCAGCATTCGAAACCTTATAGGACAAACCGAACGGATGCCCGGTACACGCAGATGTTTACGGTGGTGCAGATATTGTATCAGGTCAATAGACATCTGCTAAGGACTATGAAAATGTCTCGAACAGCATCAGCTAGCAGCCTCGCCCTGAGCTATTAAAAACTGTCCACTCCTTCAAAGTGACAGCCTTCTCTCGGACAGGGACGCAGTGCCAACCAATTTAGCGACTCTATACATACGCCGCACTGCAGTCGGCGCGACAGCAAAGCTTGAGGTTGACAGGGCGCTATCGCCGGCGTAGTTGTAATCAGTCAGCCGGCGCCAGGTTTCAAAATTAGAATCACCAAAAAAGGCGTAGGCGTTGAACAAAATGTGCAGACGGTGAACAAAATGTCCGAAAATGACCTTGGTGTGGAGTCAGTCGAGGAAAGAGAGTCCGACGGTGAAGGCGTTTCGTAGGTGTGAGGATGTGGGTTCGTAAGTTAGAAATTCAATTAGTAAGCAGACCAACCGACTGACTAATAGTAGCTCACAAAAACGTTACTGCTTTCAATTAGATTGTCAGATAGGTCAAGTTTGGAGTCGGAGATATGAGCCCATTTGAGGCGAAAAAAACGGTACGGAGAAGCACATAAATGATAAGAGATAAGTGAATGAGCCCAAAAGGTTGCAGCCGTTAACCTAGACATCCGCTATTCGGCAACTGGACGCACACGATATGGTAAAGATCATGGGAAAAGGTCATAAGCGTAGGTTTGTTTACAAAAGGACCGCAGTGTGACTGAGCACGACAATGAAAATGCCTATGAGTCAAACCTGTCAGAGTTGCTCTTTAGTTGGTTGGATGTATTCAAGACTCAACGTCGTCCCCGTCCTCTCCGATGACTGACATAGCGAAGGAACGAAAATTGTATGCCGAAACAAGTGATCTCATTACGATCCAGAAACTGATCCTGTCCCCACAACAACTTCGTAACGAGGAATATTCGACATATATCCAAGCTGCACACATATATGTGTTATTACCGACAAGAACAAGGGAGACTGGAATGGCCGTTTCTGGCTTATTAGCCGTCGTCGGCCAGTACGTTATCGTCTTTGTCGGCAATAACATAGTGCCTATATCATGCGGCGCTGTGCGGCTGCTGGTTGGGCTTGAGAGAGAGCCCGTAAGGACAACGAAACGAGTGAGTTCCGTAAGAACCATCGGTGAGCGTCCCCCACCATCGTATATTCCCGATCGAAACCGACAGGGCAACGGGCCTGTGGTCAGACGGTTAGAGGCGTGGACTGCTAACTGACAAGTCGCGATTTCGAGTCTCGGGTGTTGCACACTTAGGGGTTGGGTATAACTGGCTGACGACGGCTAATAAGCCAGAAATGACCATTCCAGTCTCCCTTGTCTTTGTCGGTAATAACATACTGCCCAGATTTGTTCTGTACTTGCATTAAGAGGAACAAGAGACCACATGGCTTTAAGCTTCTGACTTCCGTTTCTACTTCTTTTTCGTCCGTTATTTAAATAAGCAGGTTTGGTTCAGTCAATACACTAGTTAAGCAGCATGCGGAATAATTGTAGCGGCCGAGGACGTCAAGGGTAGCACACAACCACGTAGCGAGGTACCGGAAAGAGATCGTGGTGGAGGTAGATCTGAACAGAACCGTTAGCATCTCTTGACACTCATTCAAACGTAGCGGAAGAAGATGCATCGAGGAGGCATGGTATAATATAACGATATTGGTACGAGAAAAGTGTATTATAAATGTCAGAGTACACGCAGAATGAGGAATTGCAAATAGGTAGCCTGTCTGGATGGCTAGACGACCCTGACATACTAGCTAAACAGCCGGTGGGGATGCAGCGCTGTGGGAAACTGCAAGGAAGGGCCGAGAGGGGAGCCAACGTTGAGAAAGAGAGAGCGAGACGATAGCAGCGGTTCGTTGCGGGAGGGTGTCGGCGGTAGTGAGAGGAAGGGACATCGGCCGTCTTCACCGGCACGCAGTTACGCCATCGCCATCGCAGGTCCGCGCCACGAAAAGTGTCACACTACTCAAACAACTCTGTTCAGATCAAGGGACGTTACATTGTAATAGCGATGGACTTGAAGGAAAGAAAGTACTAAGGCGGGAAATAGGAAGGGAGCAGCGAGGCTGAATCATCTCTCTCTGATTTGCAGACGAGGACGTCGAGGCGAGTGCATCCGTCAATATTCTGCCAACAGAAGGACAACGTTGAATTACTCTGCGCCCACCTCGCCAACCACATTAGCGTTTTTCCTCTTTTGTCCTATTTTATGTTCATCGCTACCTTTTTCGCTCTCCTCCCTCCTGTTCTCAGAACGTGGAATATATTTACCCCTTTAGCAACGACTTCTGACACGTACCCTGTCTGTGTGAGGCCCGTTGCTGGAACTATGAGCGTCGTCCCGGAAGATCCTAACTCTGTGACAGACGACGGACCATTTCTAGGAGCAACTCCCGGTCCACCTACAACATTAACTGCGCAGCCGTCCGGATCAACTAAGGGTGAGTGTTCCTCGGCTACAGCAGTGGTGGCAGTTGAACGACCAGACCCACCCAAATGTAACAGCGCCATTCCACAATACGATGGTAAAGAAGCTTTCCCAACATGGCCCCGAAGAATCGGGTTTTACCTCGAGGATGTCCCACGGGCCGAAAACCCACGTACGCTGCTCAAAGCTTTGACCCCATCCCAGTTGGATAAAGCCCTGGACGCAGGGCTCCACGCCGGCCTACCATTGGATATTTTGTGCCAACAACTAGCAAACATCTATGGACAAACCGGTTCTGTCAGAGACGCTATTGAACAACTCCACAGCCACCGCCTTAAGACACACGAGACCCAAACCAGCTTGTCGGAGAATGAGAACGACTTGCGTTAGTGGCCTTTCGCGCCCTGGTTGCCGCGGATAAGAACAATTTTGTCCTCCATTATTTTATTAAGGCTTTACCTTCGGCAAACCTATCCAGGTCACTACTATTGCAGCCAACAGGCGACATACATGAAGTGATCGAACGCGCAGAACGCTACATGCGCTTAAATGAGACGAAGCGCACAGAAGCAAATCGCTGGAACAGAACGAAACCAATGACAAACAGGAACAATTGCGTACCTACAAGACTATTCCGCCGCCGCGGCAGGTACCCGTATAATCACCGTGCAAAGTTTTTCCGCCGGCAGAGAGGGCAACAGCCAAGTTACGGTCAAGCCTGCACATGCAGCAAAGCAGAAACGTAGAATACCACTGCGTGTAGTGACTTGCATTGAAACAGCTTGCCTTTTTACATTAACATATCAGTTGCAAACCGCGAAGTGCGGGCCCTAGTAGATGCTGGCGCTACGGTGACCCTAGTTAATAAAAAGGTGGAGATGAATATAAAATAGGATAAAAGAGGAAAAACGTTAATGCGGTTAGCGAAGTGGGTTCAGATTCAACGTTGTCCTTCTGTTGACAGAATATTGATGGATGCACTCGCCTCGACGTCCTCGCCAGCAAAACGGAAAGAGGTGACTCATCCACGCGGCCCCCTTCCTATTTTCCGCCTTACTACTTTCTTTCCTTCAAGCCAAACAACCACTATTACGACATTGTAGAAGGACGTACTGACCTTGTTGTTTTAATGTGTCCTGTCTAGGGTTTTCCCCGACCGTTTTGATTGATTGGTGTTCTGAACGTGCCTTTTTTTAGTGACTGCCGTGGAAGAGAGCGAGGGGCCCAGTCGAGGGACCGCCCGTAAGGAAAAAGACGAGAGAAAAGGAACAGGACTAATTATCTCAGTTGATATAAACCTTCCAATAAACTTTTCCCACCGTCAGCCTATTCTATTTGTGCTCGCTTGCTCCTACAGATGATGAACTCGATGCGCGCTAATTTCCAGGGTTCGCGCCGAGGAGACTCTCGATCGGATAAGAGCACCAAGGAAGCCTCTACAGATTGTCGCATGGAAGGAGGAGACGACAAGAACCAACCTTCGAGCAGCCCGAGTACTACATTGGTGGCAGCGACTATGACGGACCCGCCCAACCCTTCCTCGTCGCCTACGACTATCCCTGACTGCCTTCCCAATTTCTTTCGGCCTTTTGACGGACGGATTGAGTTTTGTAGTTGGTTACGGTGGTTCCGTTTCCACACGAACGAGGTGCCGCAGGAACAACGCTCCCGCTTAGTTTTTAAATATTTGGGCGATGATCAGTTGGATAAGGCCATCGACGCCGAGCTGTCCGT